GGTGACTTTGTGTACCATCCAATAAGTCCTGACTACCCTAAGAAGTCCCTCTATTTTCTTTTGCTCCACTGGACACCCCCCCTCCCCCAGCCCTTAGTTGTCCCTGTCAGCCTCGCTTCCCAATCAAACACATCATTGTGGCAATAACAGGACAGACACAACTCATGAACATTTGCTTTCTGCCAACACAACCCTTCTTAATGGCTCCCAAATGCCTCTTCAGGTGCATTTCAAATTGACCTTACACAATTATTTCAGAAGCACCGGGCAGGAAATGACACCAAGGTCCTGTACTGTCACCCTCTTTTTGCAAAAGGATGATAGTGCATGTCCAGATCACACAAACTGAGTCTCCAGCCGGCCGGTGCTCTCTCATAATCACATAGCCTTGAGGCCCCACTCCCTGAGCCCAGACCCCACCCTTGCCTTCCCCACCCTTTCAGCCTCTCACCCCCTGCCATGGGGTCCCTGTACTGTCCCTCCCACTACAGCAGGGGGGGTGGGTGACATCCTCTGGTCACATCTCTACGCTGGGGCTGGGCTGGGCTGGGCTGGGATCGGGATGGATTTGGGGTGTTTAAACCTTTTGAGGTTTGACAGTGACTGCCAAACCCATCCCCACAGGTGGCTCCACGTGAGGTTTGGGGAGCCCTAGAGGCCTTAGGCATCTGTGGGGGTTGGCGGCGGTCGCCTCAGCTGCAGAGGGTGGGTCTGGCAGCTGGGTACCCTTTGCCCCAGCCCCGTTCTCCTTCTGCGGTCTGTTAGCTGTTTCCTGGGGGCTTTGCTGTGCTTTGATCTCCGGATGCGTGTACATGTTAGCAACCCAGTCTACATCTTTCTTCATCTTATCGCATTTCCTTCCCCTCCGACATGCCACAGCTCCTCATCCCAGAGGGCAAGAATCGGGAGGTGGGGGGTACAAGGATGGGGGAGGACAAACCCATGATACGTCTGCCCTGCCCCTCACATCCCATCCTTCACCCAGGCCATTGCCCCGGACAGCAGTGAGATGGGGGACCTCCTGGCCTTCCGCTTCAACGCCTTCAACCCCATCCTGGACCCCTGGGTCTTCATCCTTTTCCGAAAGGCTGTCTTCCAACGCCTCAAGCTCTGGCTATGCTGCTTGGGTGCCCGTTCTGTCCACGGGGACTTACAGACACCCCTTTCCCGGCCTGCATCGGGGAGAAGAGACCCATTGGCTCCCACTGCTCTCCAGGCTAAGGAAGGGAACTGGGTGCCCCTGACATCCTGGGGCACCGGGCAGGGG